CAAGTGTCAAACAATGTGTCAAAAATTAGTGTACAAATTGTAAAGTTCAATCGATAGGTACTTCGCTACATGTACACTATGGTATACACACTTTAGTTTACACTTTGTCATGTAACATTAACCTGCTGGACAGTTTGAATTTCAAACAGTTTTCCCATCCAATTGACAATTGACAACAATGCAAGTGTCAAACAACATTCAAAATCAGTGTACAAATAGCGAAGTTCAAATAGTAAGGACCCTTCTACATGTACACTATGGTGTACACTTTAGTTTACCCTTTGCCACGTGACATTACCCTATCGGAGAGTTTAAATTTCCAACAGTTTTCCCATCCAATTGAAACTTGACAACAATGCAATTGTCAAACAACGTGTCAAAAATCAGTGTACAAATAACAAAGTTTAATCAGTAAGAACCTTGCTACATGTACACTATGGTGTACAGTTTGTCTTACACTTTGCGTGTGATAATATGTCACGCCCCCAAATTAACATTGATATCTATACACAACCTAGATATAGAAATTTACATATATATATTTTTTTCCTGTTTGTTAACTTTTAATCACCTGTGACACGATCATATAACTCATCGAAACCCAAAATCATATCGCCATAATCCAACATATATATTCTGAGCTTATAACATGTCTACAGGCCATTTCAAAAGTACACTATGTAGGATTCCAAAATATAACCCAATAGATAGCAACCTACAAAATAACCCTACAGGTCGTCATCCATGTACATCGAACTCTGGAATCCTGTAGGAGCTCCACAGCTAGCCATGCTCTCTATGTAGTTCCATGCTCACCTACGATGCAAGAACTACATAAGGCAATGCTTAGTAAGCAAAATCATGCATGTCATGAACATGAGTGATAACGACATATGACACCATGCCATTTACTTGAAATATCATGATAAAAAGTATCATATTTCAATATTCGTCAAAGTCGATTAGAAATCATTTCACTTGAAATCTTTCATTTCATTGGGCCCTTGACCCACCTACTATGCACCGGATAGAGCTCTGCATAATATCAATATCAATAATCCAATAGCCAATATGAAATTGACACTGACGAGTGGACCATCCTCTCGTGACCACTAGAGGACCATCCCCTAACTACCCCTATGATCACCCAAGAAGTCTCCCATCCGACAGCTCCAATAATCATAATATCACAAGGGCACAGTCGAGTGGTCCACCCTCCTGTGATCACCAAAGACCCATCCCCCGTCTACCATTATAATCACCCAGGAAGTAACACCCGTAATGCCAAACATATCACATAAGCATGCCTCGCATGTCTCGGTGCCCTAGTAGTGGTCAATAAGATATTTATAATGAAACTCACTTTGAAATCATGTTTTGTATGCATGATTTTAAACCATGTCACATGTCATGCATGCATATGAAAATGCTCATAAATGACGTATTTAATGAAAATCGATGCCAATAGGTTACGCAACCTCATGGTCAATGATCGTAACCACCATATGATGTGCTAGAAGCCTCTTATCAAAGTTAAGTAGATATTTCAACATGTCTATGTCACATATACTAGGTTCTTGCATCATAGTTGCAAATGGATTTTCACTTACCTTTCACCTTTGTGTGTGCAAGCTTCTATGGAGATTAGATCAATATCCTTTTTCACTTGAAATCGGAAAATCACTTGTATTACCATTTAATATTAAAGAGAATCCTCAATTTAATAACCTTAACGCACAAAATCCCAAAATACATCCATTCTCACCAAAATAATTTTGACGGAATCATCATTTCAAGTTACCGATGGCATTACAAACTTATCCCATAAATCTCGCTATTTCTCGAGTCAAATTATGAACGTCAACGTCATCCAATTGTTGTCGACAACCTAGTACCCTTAGAATCTATTTTCTAGGCCCAAGAGATTATTAATGTACATGTAAAGGCTGAAATCATATTAAACACAAAATTGGACAGAATCTGTTTTCAGATTTCCCTTACCGTCCAATTATTTTTCCAATCCCTTTTCAACCCCTTATCTATATCCAATGACTCCGAAATTTTTAAAAAATTTCTATAACATGTATTTAAAGGTAATCATGCTCTAAATTCGTGACATGTAAAGTGTTATCAGCCTCAAAATGGTCCATTTCCACAACACTAGAATCAGACAGTTTCCATTGTGACAGTTTTTGGTTTCTATTTTACTAGCATGTCACCAATCAGATTTCAGGCTATTAGAAGGCCATTTATATCCTTGTAAATATCATGTAAAAACATTCATTTACATAGATACAAGTTATATCTTAAGTATTATCCAAAATCAAAGTTTAAACCACTTAACTCTAGCAATTCCACATCACTGCACAGATTGCTTTCTTTCAGATTCTTGTAACTAATTACCCCTATTTTTGGCATCATGAAATCATTAAAAACACTCTAACCTAATCACAAGCAAGTTCATATGTTCAAGAAATTATAAACCCCTCAAGAAATAATGGATACAAACCTCAAAACTGTGAAGTAACTTGGCTGTCCAGAAATTCGAGCTTGCTGTTTCTATTTCTCTTTGGTTCTTTCACTCTCTTTTTCACTTGGAATCACTTAGATACGAGCTAATGGAGTTAAAATATTATCTAGGAGGTAGATAAGTGGTCTTTAAATAGTTAAGGTCGTGCTTATTGCTTAAGAATTAAGGAATTTGTGGGCTGCAGCCACATCAAGCCATCAAGGTGAGTCACAAAGCAGGTGGTGGCTTCTTGCTGCAATATTTGACCTTTCTACCATTATATTTGGATTTGTTTAAGCCTTATAAGATATATGTATCCCTCCTACACGAGATCATGCCTTAAGGTTAAAGAATTTGAGTGTTAAAATGTCAAAATACCCCAAGCATGAGGTGTCTTCATGGCAGCAGTACTTGACTTTCAACCATTATATTTGGATTCATTTGTGACTTTTAAGATATATATCTATCCTATATTAAGTGTTTAGGGAGTATACATGAGATTGATGCCTTAAGCTTGAAGAAATTGAGTGTTAAAATGACAAACATCCCAAGCACGAGGTGTACAAGCAAGAGGTGGTCACTTGTAGCAAAAATCTGATTTTATATCTATCGTTGCAGGCACAAATCAAGTATCATTGGCTTATTTTGACATGCTTACAATCCCTTTCACTTGTCCTAAGATCCTAAAATATTTTATAGAGTTAATTTCTCAACCGTTCATTTAATTTCTTACCCGATTGACACCCGATTCTCAACCAATTTAAACAATTCGCACCTCAATATTTATAATGTCATATGAGACATATATTATTGTGTTGTGATCATGCCACTTCTTGCCTCACATTCCAAATGTGTCAATTACCTATATAGGGTTTAAGATGACCTCGATCCACCAGATGGAAAGCTTGAACCTTTGTTGATACTAATTTCCGACCTTTTCGATTTCCATTACTTACCAAGCTAATCTTCAACATTTAGTTAACCTAATTTTCTATCATGGCTCAATGTGAAATTCACTACTTAGGTCAAAGAGTCAAAGATCATCACTATATAAAGATTTTAAAGCCTCGATGATCAAACACACATTTTTAAGAGAAAGTAATTAGGAAATTGGTGCAAATGACAATGTAATTAACATGGAATGCATGAATCATATTGGCCAAATGTAGAACGTGAAGTTTGAGGTATTACATCCTCCCCTCCTAATAAAAATTTCATCCTTGAAATTTGCTTACCAAAAAGTTCAGGATATTTAACCCGCATTTCATTTTCTTTTTTCCAAGTAGTCTCTTCGGTTAACTGATTCCGCCACAGCATCTTAACTAATGGAATTTTCTTGCTTCTTAGTTGTTTTATCTCTCGTTGAAGGATCTCTACCGGCTTTTCTTCGTAAGTCAATCTGGTTTTATCTCCATCAGTTCATTCCTTAATACACGAGAAGGATTTCCAATATATTTTCTTAGCATGGATACATGAAACACATTGTGTACTTGAGACATTGATGAAGAAAGGTCAAGTTTGTAGGCAACATTCCCAATTCTCTCAATAATAGTAAATGGACCAATATATCTCGGGCTTAGTTTTCCCTTCTTTCCAAACCGCATCACTCCTTTCATTGGTACTATCTTCAAAAACACTTGATCTCCCACAGTAAATTCTAACATTCTTCTTCTTTGATCTGCATAGCTTTTCTTTCGATTTTGAGTGGCCGTTGACGTATTTGTGTCAGAACCTCAGCCATTTCACGTGCCATATCTGTACCTAATAGTTTCCTTTCTCCAACCTCATCCCATTAAACTGGAGATCTACATTTTCTACCAGATAGTGCTTCATAAGGAGCCATACCAATCGTAGCCTGATAACTATTGTTGTATGCAAATTCTACCAAAGGTAAAAATTTACTCCACTGGCCTTGGAAGTCCAATACACAAGCCCTCAGTATATCTTCCAATATTTGTATGGTTTTTTCTGATTGCCCGTCAGTTTGAGGGTGAGAAGCCGTGCTAAAAGATAATTGTGTTCCCAAAGCCTTATGTAAGCTTCTCCAGAAGAGAGATAAAAACTTAGAATCCCTGTCTGAGAAAATAGATAGTGGTACTCCATGAAGTCTGACTATTTCTTGTACATAAAGTTGAGCATATCGGTCCATGGAATAAGTGGAACAAACTGGAATGAAATGGGCTGATTTTGTTAACCTATCCACAATAACCCAAATACTATCATATCCTTTACTCGTTTTTGGTAATTTCACCACAAAGTCCATTGTGATTCTTTCCCATTTCCATTCTAGGATAGGTAATGGTTGTAATGTTCCTGTTGGCCTTTGATGTTCTGCTTTTATCTGTTGACAGCTTAAACATTGTCCCACCTCTTCGGCTATCTCACTTTTCATGTTCGGCCACCAATAATGCAACTTCAAATCTCTATACATTTTAGTAGCTCCTGGATGAACATAATATGGTGTCATATGAGCTTCAGATAAAATATCACCTCAGATATTTTCTGCATTAGGTACATATAATAGTCCTCTAAACCGTAAGATATCATTTGTTGATATATGAAAATCTAAAGCTTTTCCATCATGTATATCATTCTTTATCTTGGAACAATAATCATCTTCCTGTTGCCCTTGTTGAATTCTATTCAGTAAAGTTGGCTGAAGTGTCAACGCAGCAAGTTTAGCCTCTATAGATCCTTGTGACACAACTTCAATTCCCATTTTCTGTAAATCTATCAATTCTAATTTTTGAGTTACAATCATACTCGCAACACTGGATGTCGACTTCCTGCTCAATGCCTCAGATACAACATTAGCCTTACCGGGATGATATTTTATAACAAAATCATAATCCTTGACCAACTCTAGCCACCTTCTTTGTCTCATATTCAATTCCTTTTGTGTAAACAAATATTTCAAACTTTTGTGATCAGTGTAAATCTCACACCACTCTCCATACAAATAATGCCTCCATATCTTAAGTGCAAACACAACTGCGACGAGTTCCAAGTCATGTGTAGGGTAATTCTTTTTGTACTCTTTTAGTTGTCTAGAGGCATATGCAATAACTTTACCATTTTGTATCAATACACATCCCAAACCATTCTTTGAAGCATCACTATAAACTACAAAATCTCTAGTACCAGATGGGATTGAAAGGATAGGGGCTGAAGTTAGTCTTTTCTTCAATTCCTGAAAACTTTGCTCACAAGCATCTGTCCATTCAAACTTTGTACTCTTTCTAGTTAATTTCATTAAAGAAAAGCTATTTTGGAAAATCCTTCCACAAATCTGCGATACTATCCAGCTAAACCCATAAAACTTCTGACCTCTGAAGGATTTATAGGTTGTGGCCAATTATTAATAGCCTCTACTTTACTTGGATCCACTGATATACCCTCACCTGATACTACATGCCCCAAAAATACAACTTTATCTAACCAAAATTCACATTTCTTAAACTTAGCATATAGTTGCTTGTCCTTTAAGACCTACATGACTATTCTCAAGTGTTTCGCATGTTCTTCCTTAGTACGAGAATAAATAAGGATATCATCAATAAATACAATTACAAACTTATCGAGAAAGTCTCCAAATACCCTATTCATCAGATCCATGAAAGCTGCTGGGGCATTTGTTAACCCAAATGGCATTATTAAAAACTCATAATGACCATATCTCATACTAAATGCTGTCTTAGAAATGTCATCTCCCTTTATTTTAAGTTGATGATATCCAGATCGCAAATCAATCTTCGAAAATACAGATGCACCCTGAAGTTGATCAAACAAATCATCAATTCTCGGTAATGGGTATTTATTTTTAATTGTCACCTTATTCAACTCTCGATAATCGATAGAAAGCCTCATAGTACCATCCTTTTTACGAACAAACAATATCGGTGCACTCGATGGTGAAAAGCAAGGTCTAATAAAACCTTTATCTAACAACTCTTGTAATTGTAACTTCAACTCTTTCAGTTCAGTGGGGGCCATTATATATGGAGCCTTGGAAATTGGAGATGTTCTTGGAATTAAATCAATTACAAACTCTATCTCACGATCTGGTGGTACCCTAGGTAAATCATCAGGAAATACCTCTGGAAATTCTTGTGCCACGGGCACATCACTAAGATTCGGATTGTGTTGTGCTTCAATAGTATTAACACTCACCAAATACCCTATACACCCACTATCTAGTAACCTTTTTGCTTTCAATACCAATATGGTTAGAACTCTAAAACCTTTTTCGATCCCAATGAATGTAAATGGCTCATTCCCCAAAGGTTGAAAGGTCACTGACTTCCTCATACAATCTATAGTAGCTTGATATTTTGACAACCAATCCATACCCAAAATTATATCATAATCTTTCATTTTCAACACAATTAAATCTGCATAGAGCTCTCGATTTTCTATGAGGATCACACATGCTGTTATAATTAGATTGGTTTGTTGTACATCTCCAAATGGAATAGTTACACTATAACTAACCTCTTGTATATCAGGTGTCCTACCCAACCTCCTCACATACTCAGTAGACACAAATGAATGTGTGGCTCCAGAATCGAATAGTACAATTGATGTGATGCCAAAAAAAGAAAATTTACCTGTTACCACTGATGGATTTGTCTCAGCATCTGATCTAGTAATAGTAAACACCCTAGCTGGCACTTTCTTTTGCTCCATAGGGTTTAGATTACTTGGGCATGCTCTAGCAAGATGTCCCACCTTTCCACAAACATAACATGTTCTAGTCTCTATAGGACATGCTCCAGTATGCTGTCCAACACATTTGGGACAAGATAGTTGTGCTGTTGAGGCTTTTCCTTGATCTATCCTTGGACGTTTACCCTGAGCCCAATGTTGTTGTCCTTGTCTCAGTTGAAACTTAGGCTTCTGATTGTGTCCTTGGAAAGCTCTTTTCTTATCATTTCTAGGCCACACTGTCCTTGACCTTGCCTAAACTGTCGACGAGCCTCTTGGGCATGACTAATCCTTAGTTCAGCTTGTTCTGCAACTAAGGCTCTCTCTACAATTTGAGAATATAAAACATCTTGGATTCCTGCCATGCTTACATCTCTATATAGTTCTGGTCTTAGCCCCTCAAGGAATCTTTCTACCTTTAGTACCTCAGAATTAACTATGTGGGTAGCAAACCTGGATACTTGTTCAAACTTACGAATATACTCTCCCACTGTCACCCATCCTTGTCTTTACTGTATAAATTCATTCATCTTCATGGCTCGACTAGGGGATTTAAAATATTTATTACGAAATAACTTTTTAAATCTCTCCCAAGTCATGGCATTTACATCTTCAATGCTAATCATCATATCCCACCAATGTCCAGCACTACCTCGTAGCATAAAGTATGCACAAACCACCTTTTCTACTTTTGAAACTCTCGTATACCTAAACATATTCTCTAAAGTTCTCAACCAATCCTTTGCTACAGTTGGATCTAAAGCATCCTCAAATATTGGAGGGTTTAGTTTTCTAAATCTTTCTCCAACTATCTCAATATGTTCAGCCCTTTGTTGTGGTTGTAAGAATTCCGCCCTTTGTTGTTCTCTCCTTTCTCTTTGTTGTATTAATTACTGAATTTGTTGAGATTGGTGCTCAACTAATTCTGTAAGTCTATCAATAACAACATCCCGACTGTTATCTTGAACAGATGCCTCTTGCCTTGGAGTTCTAGCTCTACTACTACTAGAATATCTTGTTCTCAACATGGCTGCAAATAAAGCTTGGCCAATATCATTCATGAAATATGCAAAAATAATGCAACAAAGAAAACTTACTGGCATAGCTATGCTCTTTCATGTTCCGAGATCATGTACATGGACAGACTACAGAATTATAACCTCGCTCTGATACCACTCTCTGTCACGTCCTCAAATTAACATTGATATCTATACACAACCTAGATATAGAATTTTACATATATATATATTTTTTCTAGTTTGTTAACTTCTAATCATATGTGACACGATCATATAACATATCGAAACCCAAAATCATATCGCCATAATCCAACATATAGATTATGAGCTTATAAACATGTCTATAGGCCATTTCAAAAGTACACTATATAGGATTCCAAAATATAACCCAACAGATAGTAGCCTAGAAAATAACCCTATAGGTCATCATCCATGTACATCGAACTCTAGAATCCTGTAGGAGCTCCACAGCTAGTCATGCTCTCTATGTAATTCTATGCTCACCTACAATGCAAGAACTACATAAGCCAATGCTTAGTAAGTAAAATCATGCATGTCCTGAACATGAGTAATAACAACATATGACACCATGCCATTTACTTTTAATATCACGATAAAAAGTATCATATTTCAATATTTGTCAAAGTCGACTAGAAATCATTTCACTTGAAATCTTTCATTTCATTAGGCCCTTGACCCACCTAATATGCACCGGATATAGCTTTGCATAATATCAATATGAATAATCAAATGGCCAATATGAAATCGACACCAACGAGTGGACCATCCTCTCGTGACCACTAGAGCCCCATCCCCTAACTATCCCTATGATCACCCAAAAAGTCTCCCACCCGATAGCGCCAATAATCATAATATCACAAGGGCACAGTCGAGTGGTCCACCCTCCTGTGATCACCAAATGCCCATCCCCTGTCTACCTTTGCAATCACCCAGGAAGTAACACTCGCAATGCCAAACATATCACATGAGCATGCCTCACACGCCTCGGTGCCCTAGTAGTGGTCAATAAGACATTTTATAATAAAACTCACTTTGAAATCAAGTTTTGCATGTAGGATTTTCAACCATATCACATGTTGTGCATGCATATGAAAATCCTCATAAATGACGTATTTAATGAAAATCGATGTCAATAGGTTACGCAACCTCATACTCAATGATCGTAACCACCATATGATGTGCTATAAGCCTCTTATCAAAGTTATGTAGATATTTCAACATTACTATGTCACATATACTAGGTTCTTGCATCTTAGTTACAAATAGATTTTCATTTACCTTTCACCTTTGTGTGTGCGAGCTTCTATGGATATTAGATCAATATCCTTTTTCACTTGAAGTCAGAAAATCACCTGTATTACCATTTAATATTAAAGAGAGTCCTCAATTTAATAACCTTAACGTACAAAATCCCAAAATACATCCATTCTAACCAAAATAATTTTGACGGAATCATCATTTCAAGTTACCGATGGCATTACAAACTTATCCCATAAATCTCGCTATTTCTCGAGTCAAATTATGAACATCAACGTCATCCAATTGTTGTTGACAACCTAGTACCCTTAGAATCTATTTTCTAGGCCCAAGAGATTATTAATTTACATGTAAAGGCTGAAATCATATTAAACACAAAATTGGACAGAATCTGTTTTCAGATTTCCCTTACCGTCCAATTATTTTTTCAATCCCTTTTCAACCCCTTATCTATATCCAATGACTCCGAAATTTCTACCACATTTCTATAACATGTATGTGAAGGTAATCATGCTCTAAAGTCATGACAAGTAATGTGTTCTCAGCCTCAAAATAGTCCATTTCCACAAACACTAAAATCAGACAGTTTTCATTGTGACAGTTTTCGGTTTCTATTTTATTAGCATGTCACCAATCGGATTTCAGGCTATTAGAAGGCCATTTATATCCTTATAACTATCATGTAAAAACATTAATTTACATAGATACAAGTTATATCTTAAGTATTATCCAAAATCAAAGTTTAAACCACTTAACTCTAGCAATTTCACATCACTGCACAGATTGCTTTCTTTCAAATTCTTGTAATTAATCACCCCTCTTTTTGGCATCATGAAATCATTAACAACACTCTAACCTAATCACAAGCAAGTTCATATGTTCAAGAAATTATAAACCCCTCAAGAAATAATGGATACAAATGTTCACGAAATTATTTGTTTCGATTTAAAATCCACCGCAAGTGTACAGTTCTTTAACAAGTAGTAAAATGGATTATGAGCCCAAGTATCAATCCCACAAGGATTGAATTAGTTCAAATCAACCTATTATGACCTTAACTAAAGCACGAAAGTAAAATTAATGTATTGTGGTTTAACTAAAAAAGATATAAACTATGATGCAATTATGGATGAGAGAATTATATTAAATGCAAAATGACTTGGACACAATCTACTAGAATTTATGGAATTAATGAATGTACTAATGCACTAGGATCACGAATCCCCAATCAATACCCGTTCAATTTGTAATCGTACAAATTTTACACACAGCTCCACAAAAGATGAATCAATATTCCTATTTTAATTTAGCAATCTCTCTCGAGCAATGCCAAACCTAGCCCAATATGTGATTCGACTATATATCTATGAGGAATACTAACATACCAGAATGCATTATGATTTCATGAATATCCAACAATTCACACAAGGCATGGAGGTATATTTCTATCCCCTATCGGACCCTATGATGATTTGTACTATGTCGAACCTATTTTCCTTCTTTCGAACGCTTAAAACAGGCCATCAAAATCATATAATTACGTGCACAATAATAATATGAAAATAAAAATGTAATAAATCATTCAATTCCGGAACATGCGTTTAAATATGTCAAATATCCAAATCAAAAATCAAACATAGTATTACAAGGTTCATTGATCTCCTAGCAATGAAAAATCTGGCCTAACATGCTAAAAAGAAGAAAATACAAAAATAGTTGAAGAAACGTCATCACCCGAATCAAGTTTCAATCGAATCTTCACTTGGCGCGATGTTTTCCTCTTGAATTTCTCTTCGTTTCTCCTTCATAATCTATAAAAAATTTGTAAAAATGGCATCCCCTTCATTCTACTCAAATTTTCATTCATATAGGACCCTAAAAATCCTGTTTCCATAAGAGTTTCGACGTAAAAAGGAAACTACGGTTTTGGCCTAGAAATGCTCTATGCGGTCGCACAGAGTAAAAGTTTTCTGACCTTTTATTTTCAGTTTACCTCTATGCAACCGCATAGAGGGTAGCACTATGCGGTCGCATAGTGCTACCAACTATGGAAGATGTTCATTTTGGTCCTTCTACTTGAATTCTTCACTTCTTGGCATCTTTTCGTCATTCTTTCCATTCCATCGTCCCAAGATATCATCAATTGGCATTTGGCTTAATCAATTTCTCAATTTTTTCATCGGCCCAACTTTCGTGGTCCCTGAATTTTCACTTTACGTCATTTTAGTCCTTTTTCGCGTCTTTTCTCTTGAATTTCACCATGTTCATCGGTGTTCCCTACAAGTCACAATTCAATCATTTTGCTCGTTATTAAGTCATGTTTGTGACCTAAATAAGTGTGCAAAAATACACTTATCAAACCCCCCAAACTTGAACTATTGTTTGTCCTCAAACAAGATAGTGATTTAATTCTGAACAAATATGACTTAATACCCTGCTGTGGCTCAAGATTGGACTAAGTAATTGACTTTATGAAAATTTATCAGTGCTAAAATGACATCAACCTTTACCTATTAAATGCAAATTGACATGTGAGTGTGTGAATTTATGCCAACATATTAGGTTCATGATGAATTTGAGTCCCGACCCTAAGTGGTCAAATGTATCCTTACTCGCTCGAGAGATACACAACCCCCTAAACTTATTCTTTTCACTCAATTATCCCGAGGTTGTATTTTAAGATTAGGAATTTACATAGCTGTAGTCCTCACCCTCTCATAGTTTAGATTAGTCTTACTATCACAAGTTTACATTTCAATAGGTGAAGGCTCTCCTAAGTTTGATTAAATCGACACTCAAGATTAAACTAGGTTACTTGCCTGGCCTCAGAGGTATAGTCTCTTCAACCAAATGTCCAAGGGGTTTTCATCATGTTATTGTCTCTCTTTTGTTTTTCTCACCTTTCTCTAATTTCTGGTTGATTATTATCTTCTCATTTGCTTTCTATATAACCCATGTAACGAGCTTTAGGCCGGTGATTCCCAAACCAGTTAGCTTTAGGGCACCAGATTTTAAACCTTTGCAGGCTTATCCACTCGAGTTATAAAGGCTCGATCAGATGACTTTTTATTAACCTCTTTCCCTCTTACTTTCTATATGACCCATGTTTCGAGCTTTGGGCTGGTGACTCCCAGGCTAGTTGGCTTTAGGGCACTAGATTTTTAGATATCCTTATAGGCTTATGCTCGAGTCATAAAGGCATGAAAAGAAGTGTTTTATTTTCACATATTAATTTTATGCCTTTTGTTATTTTTCTAGACATTTAGTTTCCAAAACCAACCCCCAATTTAAGATTTTCACCTACTCTTCACCCCACTGGTCTAGGCAATCCACACAATAAAGTTCATGCACGGAGCCCCCATTCATCTCAATGCTTCCCTATAATAGCTCAACCATCACCAAACTATCATCAGGTAGTTTATGGGTTAATTCAATACAGGGTTATCATTCTTTTCCTACTTTATGCTCAAAATCCAGTCATTCACCTAATATGTCAAGCATGAATAGCGTTCATAGATAATGTCAAGTGTTGCATCAACAAGTATCAGTTAGTCTAATTAACACCAAATCTAAAGTTTTGCAGTTTAAACTAGTCCAATAATATCATCATAGCTAACAAGGTTATCAAGTCCACACAAGCATGCATGAAGAGAATTAAAACAAACTAAATAAAATGAATTTTTTTTTACACTCGTCATGCATACATTATGCAGTAATGGAAAATAGTGGAAAATAGATAATGATGAACACAGATAAAGATTTAAAATTATGTCACCCTCCCCAAACTTAGTTAATACATTGTCCTCAATGTAAGATTAACAAAAGATTAAAGACATAATTTTAAGCACAAAATGAAGAAGAAAAATCAAAATGGGATAAACAGTACTCTCCTGATCAAAATGGTGGCTGTGATAGAAAGTTGGGTCCGACAGCATCATCTTCAGGAGGGAGGGAGGCGGGATAAAATCTCTCTCAATATGGCAGACTGCTGGATCTGCTCCACCTGCATGGCTTGAGCCCTTGCCTCCAAACTCCCTAGACAGTCCCAAGATTCGTTTACCCGCCATTGTATACCATTCATCCTGCCAACGTACATGCGCAATCACCCGTCAAAGGTATTCATCTGTCGTTGCGCCGGAAGGGACTCACTGTTGGCAGTGGAAGTGAAGTTTTGTGTGGTTGCCATATCGGTCTGTACCTATTGGATGGTGGTACTCAGTGCTCCAAATGAGTGCTGAAGACTCTGCATGTCTCGGCTGTGTCTAGTCATAGTGGCAAACATCTGCCTCAATAATTGGATATCCATGTTAGTCGGTGGTAGAGTAGCTTGTGGCATTTCAAAGTCCTCAGCTGCATGCCCTTCCTTAGCCTATTTTTGTCAACGACGATCATTTTCCAACTTCTGTTGATGTTTAATTTTGGCCCGGTCCTGGGCCTCGAGTGTGAGGCGTTTGATATATGGACTTGGCTTCTTCGGTGCCTCACCAGGCTGTACTTGTATGCCTGCAGCTCTACAAACCCCACTTATCAAGCTCGGAAAAATCAGTGAGGTGTGCCTGTTTCCTCATGCGCCTGTAATGTGTATCTGGTTATAGATGTAAGTGGCCAAGTCAATCTTGTTACCCTGAACTAAATGATAGATAAATCCCGCCTTCTGATTTATGAATACCATCCTATGGGATATGTGCTCAATGTTGTGGCATATGAACAACCATAGGATGGCTATAGAAGGGGTAAGGTCAATCTGATACCAATCTGTAGTAGGGAGAGGCCAAGCATTTTCACGTCCCAATAAAACTTCTGCAACCTTAATCCAGTTGAAATCATGTAGGACTAGGACTACATTAGTCCAGGTTAGCTGATAGTAGTCATGAATTACTTCAAGTGAAAACATGATCCATTTGCCCTGATGCACATGATCGGATCTAGGTGTGTCTATTTCGGTATTGAAGTTGGCATAGAACTCCTTCACCAAATTTTCATAGACTAGGTGTGGTCTTTCAATCACTTTCTCCCAACCACACATGTGGATTAAATAAACCAATTCAAAATCGGGAAATCATCCAACTTAACTGGTCTTTTGGTGATGAGTGCCCACTCACGGACAACATTGGCATAATGGGCTGCTTCGTCTAAAGATAGAAATCGCCTGACACCCCCTTTGGGCTCCCTAGTCCGGGTTGTGCTAGATGTGGAACCAACCTTCTCTTTTCCTTTTGATGTTCTTTTTGGAGGCATCCTGCAAAGGTGCATAAATAACATTCATTAAACTTCATTTTGGAAAACGAGAGGGGGAATGAGATTAGCAAGACATGTATTTCACAAATCCCCCAAACTTGCTTCAACATGCATATAGAACTCCTTGGCGTGCACTCATCAAAACATGACATTCAAGGTAGTGTAAATAGTGTGCCAAGATGAATAAACTAGAAAATTAGGCCGAAACATGCACATTTGAAAAATTGGACCCATGACCGATTGTGCATGTTCAGCCCCAGACATCATCGAAAATATCAAAATTTTCCAGGCAATCTCTGGGCACATGAAAGTATTCAATTAGATCTACCATATACTCAAATTTCAAAGCAATTGGACTTCGTTTGGTGTGTCAACTAATGGTGTAAAATAGGGGACATAGGGTGCCGTGACATGTCATGACCTAGCCATGTGCCTTCGTGTTGCAAAATGGATGTGATGTGTTACATGGCCTTTCATTTGTTGTGCATGTGATAGTATGCAAATGTTAAGAAAACATGCTCAAGAACGTATATGAAATGAAAAATAACAACACACACAAGTTGAGCTCAAAACATCCAAATGGTGTCAAGTGACCCATGATCAAGCGTGCAATTTCACCCCCGGACATCATTGAGAAAAATCAAATTTCTTTCGAGAAACCTCTGGGTATATGAAAGTACGTAGTTTGGAGTGGCACATATTCAAATTTCATGCCCATTGGATGTCGTACTGGTGCTCAATTAAAGGGACGAAGTGGGTGCTGTGAAATGACGTGAACCTAACATGGATGCCTACATGTGCGTGGTTGGTGAGTGAATGTTTCTAGCTCAATTTCTATGGCATTTGGTCAAAATGTGTATGTTAATGTACATATTCAGAGTATCAAATGCGAAATTCCACCTAATGCACAACAAAGCTCGCTTAGGCATTTTATCGAACATATAACATTCATTCATTGTAAACCTTACAAAATACCTAAAATGTGATGTGCCACCAATTCATAACGCAACCCAAGCTCAAAATGCACAACCCATCAACTACCTATTGCCCATTCTCCGTAATCAAGCTCAAAAAATTATTGGTTCATCACGAACCAAACTTAAAGGAATTCATAGAGAAAAGGAATGAGAAAATACCTTGAATTCTCAATGGAAGGGTGGGGTATTGATTTATCATGCCAATGTTAGGAGGAATTATCGTGTAATATGCCTGGGAAGTGTGTGAATGTGGTGGTATGAGAGATATGTGAAGAGGGAGAAATGAGGGAGAGTGGCTCGGTCATGGTTTAAAACCATGACCAAGGTCCTACTATGCGACGGCATAGTACTAAACTATGCGGTCACATAGTATTAAAAATTTCCCCAATTTTGTGTTCGGATGGTGTCTATGTGACCGCATAGCCATTATATCTATGCGATCGCGTAGACCAAAAATTTTAAAAAAATACTGGAATACCAAAAATTTATTTTCCCTCTTTGAAATCTCTGGCACACATTTCCCCTTTAAATTTTTGAAAATGTCATTGTGTCTTAAAATGTGTGAATTTTACTCCCAATCACCCAAAATCATTTCAAACTCACCGACCATGTGTGTAATGCCTAGGAAATTATGGGGACGATAATTTGATCCTATTAACATGCTTGTATGAATGAAGACCTAGAAAAATGCAAATGTGAAAATTAAATAACTCTGAAAATAATGTGAAAAGTAAGATAAATAGAAGGATACAGTGGGTTGCCTCCCACCCAGTGCTAGGTTATAGTCGATAGCTCGACTTTACCGTATTGTGTCATTCTGGTGGTCTAAGATGAACAGTAGACTTTTCCTTTGAAAAATCACCACCCCAATAGTGCTTCAAACGTTGTCCATTGACCTTGAATGTTCCCTTACTGTCGTGAGTGATCTCAACTGCCCCATGTGGAAATACCTATGTAATAGTATATGGACCAGACCATCTCGATCGCAACTTTCCTGGAAACAGCTTAAGCCTAGAGTTGTAGAGTAGCACTTTTTGCCCCACCTTAAATTCAAGCCTCTGAATATGCATATCATGCCACTTCTTGGTGCATTCTTTGTAGAGTATTGAATTCTTGTAGGCCTCCATTCTGAGCTCATCCAGCTCATTAAGTTGTAGTAGACGTTTTTTACCTGCAGCCTTCAAGTCCAAATTCAATTTCTTCATTACCCAGTAAGCATGGTGTTCTATCTCAAGAGGTAAGTGGCATGCCTTGCCGAAAACCAGTCAATATGGTGACATTCCTATAGGGGTCTTGAATGCAGTCCTATAGGCCCACAAGGCGTTGTCCAGTTTCTTAGACCAATCTTTTCGTGAAGAGCTTACCGTGACTTCGAGTATTCGCTTCAATTGTCTATTGGACACTTCGACCTGTCCACTGGTTTGGGGATGATATGCAGTGGCTACACGATGTTTAACACCATATTTAGTCAACAACTGTTCAAACTAGCGATTGCAAAAATGTTTGCCCCCGTCACTGATTATTGCTCTCGGTGTGCCAAAGCAGGTGAAAATATTTTTCTTTAGAAAATCAATCACCACCTTCCCATCATTGGTAGGCAATGCAATGACATCTACCCACTTCGATACATAATCCACAGCCACCAATATGTACTGGTTAGAGAATGATGGGAAAAAAGGGCCCCATGAAGTCGATCCCCCAGACATTGAATAGTTCCACCTCCAGGATACTGTTCAAAGGCATTTCATTTCTCCTGGATATATTATCAGTACGTTGACATCGATCACACCTTTTCACGAATTTGAAAGTATCCTTAAACAGTGTAGGCCAGTAAACACCTAATTGAAGGATATTCGTTACTGTTTTTGAAGCACCAGAATGCCCTGCGTATGTAGATGAATGAGAATGTTCTAATATCAAAGGCACTTTTTCCTCAGGTATGCAGCGACGAACAATTTGATCAGCTCCCCGCCTGTATAGAATGGGGTCCTCCCAAAAATAATACTTCAATTCAACGAAAATTTTTTTCTTCTGGTGACTTAATTAATATGGTGGAATGATAGACCTGGCTAAGTAGTTAACTATGTCCACATACCAGGGTACCTTTCCCACATCAGAAATTTGTTCATCTGGGAAGACTTCATTGATTTCCACGGTCTCTGTTTGTTTTGTGGTCTCGAGTCGAGACTAGTGGTCTGCCACCATGTTTTCACTGCCCTTCTTATCCCTGATTTCCAAGTCAAACTCTTAATGCAATAGTATCAGCATGACCTTTGACCCCACAAGATATGATCGAAATTTGTCAACGGCGTAGACTACGACAAGGAGCTTTTTCTCTGTAGTGGCATAGTTTAGTTGAGCGTCGTTCAAGCTCTTACTTGTATAGTAGATCACATAAAATATCTTATTCCTTCGTTGTCCCAATACTACCCCAATAGCAAAATCACTGGCATCGCACATTAATTTAGATGGCAGGTTCCAATCCGGTGTAATGATCACGGGTGCTGAAATCAACTTCTCCATCAAGGTGTTAAAAGCCAGCAAACACTCATCTGTGAACTCAAATGTGGATTCCTTCATCAACAAACAACACAGTAGTTTAGTAATTTTTGAGAAATCCTTGATGAACCTTCTGTAGAACCCGACATGCCCGAGGAAGCTACAAACACCTTTCACTAATATTGGTGGGGATAATTTCTCGATTACCTAAATTTTTGCTCTGTCCACCTCAATACCCTTTATTGAGATTCTATGACCTAACACGATGCCTTCCTGTACCATAAAGTGACATTTCTCCAAATTCAATACCAAGTTGGTCTCTGTACACCGCTGTAACACAAGACTCAGATACT